CGTTACGATGAAGCCAACAGGACCACATCATCCGCAAAAAGCAGGGATGCGATCCTAAGGCCACCAAAACCCTTAACACCTCGGCTACGCCTAGAAATTCTGTCCATGAAAGTAATGAACAGAATCGGTGACAAAGGGCAGCCTTGGCGGAGTCCAACTCTCACCGGAAACTAGCCCGACTTACTGCCGGCAATGCGGACCAGACTCTGACACCGGTCGTACAAGGACCTGACAGCCCGTATCAAATGGCCCGGTACCCCATACTCCCGGAGAACCCCCCACAAGACCCCCCTTGGGGGGCCTAAAGAGTCTACAGCTAACTTTTATTTTTTCTAAAATCACAGAGTTCTCTGATTCAGCTTCAGATGTTTGTAGTTAATCATATCTTCTAAATTTAACCAGGTGTTTCAATGCCTTTAAATTACACAATAATTTTACTGGAGAAACTTGTCAGTTTGATTAAAAAACAGTATTTTTTTCTGTGCAGAGAACTTCCTCTGCTATAATTTATTTTAAATAAATATATCAAAGCCCCTCAGTTGAAAACACTAAAATTATTAGAAACGATGTTTAAAAACTTCTTTCCTCAGAAAGTCTTCAGTCCTAAGAACACTAAACTGTAACTTATTTAAATAAAAATGTTTGACCTGTAAACAGAAAGCTTATGGATGGATGTAGATTTTTGCTTTCTATTTCAAAGAAGAGGATGAGGAGGAGAACGAGGAAGTTCTCCTCAAGCAGCTCCTAAAACTGTCAACCTGCTGACTGAGAACATTTGTATATATTATACTTTGTATACAGAACAATATAGCCTACTTATTAAATTATATTTTTATTGAGATATTTTTTAGACAACCAAAATGTTTTGAGGACAACCAGATTTTGTCAAACCCCCACATGAGAGGTCAGCACCACAGTTAAAAAAATATCCTGGGAGAAACTCTGCAAAGTTACAGTTCTTCTAGTTCTAATAATTCTTAAAAAGGACATGATTTGAGGTTTTTACTGATAATATTTTATTCAAAACATGTTACAGAAGTCATAAGAAGCAGGTTTATTTTGAACAAACATTACAAACGTGTTCATTCCCACAAAACTGTCAAATATATTTACAAACAACACTAAACTGATTCAGATTAACATAAAATAAATCATGTTTTATAATTAAATGTCTGTTTCCTGCTATAAAGAAAAATCTTCCTCCTGTCCTCC